ACCTCGGCTGAAGGCGGGAAAGTTGGAAACAAGTGGGAAAAACGATTGCTTTCCTCCTTAAAAAGACAGCTGTCACGTTGGGTTGTGGTTTACAGCTAGTCTAATATATTAGCACTATTTGGCCTAACATATCCAGTTTCAGCAACCCCTTAGATTGATTATTAGTCTTTTACGACTTGCTCATTATTTGGTCTACCCTCCCATAATATCCTCCATACCCCCCCCCTTTTCCCAACCACGATTTCTGCAACCTACCCAGGGAAAAGGAAACATCTAAATTTTGGAAGAGGCTAAGAAACGAAACAAACATCACAAAGAGATATTCGTCACGTTCTGGCCACAAATATGAGAAATCTGAAAAGGTTTTAGCAACAAGCGGAAAGATTTGTGGAAAATAAAGGGAAAGACAATCAGAAGCTATTCTTGTCATTTTTGGATTCCCCCCCCCCCCCCCCCCAAAAAAAAAAGGGGGGGGAGGTAGGTCACAGGGACGTTTCAACCATGTTATGCTATACACAAATGTTCTGTTTAATTATTAATATATTTTGTTAACTGTTTATAAAACAAAAAGGCAATGGCGTTTTATGTTTGTTTTCCCGCACAGACTGCTCAGTAGATATCAGCTTGAGAAAACGGTTCTTTATTAATATCCTACCCCCCAGATGACGTCACAGGACAGTCCAACATTTTAGAGGGTGATAAGACTGGGTTTCTGCTGCTTTTAACAACCCCAAAACATCTAGAACTGACCCTAACCCAACCCACTTAGGTCCCAAGACTGCATGCAGCCTATCTGCTACCCCCTGAAATCTTAGACTGTCCTATGACCTGTGGATCTGTCCTGTTTGGGGTAGGATATTAATAAAGCACCAAGAAAACAGTATATTGTTTTTAAAGTTGGGGAGGGAGGATGCATGAGGGTCTTGCCATATGTTCATGGAAGGTCACTAGGTGAACAAGGTTGAAAATCACTCATTTACATGATTCACTTACATGTATTCAAATCCCATCCAGTTGTTAATTCACCTAACCAGTCACCTGCTCTTGTTATGCTAAATCCATCTATGACAAGATCTCATAGTTTTAAGACATAAGATCTACTTATTTATTAGCAATACATATTTTTCTTCTGTGTTCTACCTTAAAAGGACAGTTTGCTAATATGTTCTGGTTCACAGCTAGGCTGTGATATCTCTACTTTTAGGCCCAATTCATCCAGCTGCGAGACAATTCTAATTAGCCACGTTTTATGGCAGACTTGTAAAAGGATAGTGGGTCGATTATTTTCCCCCAATGGGGCAGGGGAATCCACACATGGAGGCAGGGTAATCCAATGCAGGGGAATCCACACGCAGAGGCAGTGAAATCTACACTTGAAAGCAAGGGAATCCATATGCGGAGGCAGGGGAATCCACACGTGGAGGCAGGGGAATCCACACATGGGGGCTAGGGGAATCCACATGGAGAATCCACACACATGGAGGCAAGGGAATCCACACACACGGAGGCAGGGGAATCCACACTCATGGAGGCAGGGGAATCCACACACATGGAGGCAGGGGAATCCACACATGGAGGCAGGGGAATCCACACATGGAGGCAGGGGAATCCACACATGGAGGCAGGGTAATCCAATGCAGGGGAATCCACACGTAAGGCAGTGAAATCCACACATGGAAGCAAGGGAATCCATATGCGGAGGCAGGGGAATCCACACACGGAGGCAGGGGAATCCACACATGGAGGCAGGGGAATCCACACACGGAGGCAGGGGAATCCACACATGGAGGCAGGGGAATCCACACGAGGCAGGGGAATCCACACACGGAGGCAGGGGAATCCACACATGGAGGCAGGGGGGAATCCACACGAGGCAGGGGAATCCACACACGGAGGCAGGGGAATCCACACATGGAGGCAGGGGAATCCACATGGAGAATCCACACACACAGAGGCAGGGAAATCCACACGGGGAGGCAGGGGAATCCACACGTGGAGGCAGGGGAATCCACACATGGAGGCAGGGAAATCCACACGTGGAGGCAGGGGAATCCACACGTGGAGGCAGGGGAATCCACACATGGAGGCAGGGGAATCCACACATGGAGGTAGGGGAATCCACACACAGAGGCAGGGAAATCCACACATGGAGGCAGGGGAATCCACACGAAAGGGGGGCAACATTTAACAATCTGTTACCAAAGAACCAGAGTAACATCTGTGACAGACTCAGAAAGTTAACATTTGAAGTCCCCCCAGAGCACATACAGCTGACTAACCAGGTCTGCATCATCATTACTGTCTTCATACGATGTTCATTTGATCATAGAATATCTCAATACATCACTTTCTTCATACGATGTTCTTTCTATCATAGAAAATCTAACCACATTAATTTCTTCATATGATATTGTTTTTATCACAGAGAATCTCAACACATCGTCCTTTCACTCATACAATGTTCTTTCTATCACACAACAACATGATACACCAGGTGTATTCAGGATCAACGCATGAGGAACTGAGTTCCTGCTTTGTGTGATCAATCAACAGGCAAACAGTAAGCCGCTGTGTGGAGACACTGTGTGGAGACACTGTGTGGAGACACTGTGTGGAGACGCTGTGTGGAGACGCTGTGTGGAGACGCTGTGTGGAGACGCTGTGTGGAGACACTGTGTGGAGTCGCTGTGTGGAGACGCTGTGTGGAGACACTGTGTGGAGACGCTGTGTGGAGACGCTGTGTGGAGACGCTGTGTGGAGACACTGTGTGGAGAGAGACTGAGTCCCATGGAGTAATATCGTCCTGAATGCTTGTATTTATCATTGTTTAGACTGGGGTGGGAGGGTATGGAGGGGGGCGGGGGATTTTCAGCCTGATGATTTAGGGTCACATGATTAGTGCCAAGAGTTGGCTGGTTCCTGAGAGATGTTGTGGAAGCGGTAGAGATGTGGTTTTGTAGATCAATGATAGGAACACCCTGGACAGATAACAAGAATAATGAAGACGTCTTGAAAGAAACTGACTCACGAAGAGAACTGATTGCCCACATCAGAAAGAGATAATCTATATTATTTGGTTATGTGATGAGAAGGAGAAAACCGGAGTACATCGTGATGGTGAGAAAGCTGGAGGGGAGAAGAGGCAGGGGAAGACAGAGAGAGAAGATACAGGACTGTCTGACATCATGGCATGGACAAATCATCTGTAGTACACGAGAGAGAAGGTTGTGACTGGACATGGCTACCAACATCACACTTTATTTATGTGCAAGCCACCTGACCAGATAAGATACAGTATGCTAGATCATGAAAAAAAGTAAAGGACCCATTTCCACGCCATTAGGCGTATAGGGCGTATAGGGCTAGACCTATATTTTTATAGACCAATCGGCACAAGCATGTGGCGGCTGACAACACCAGTTCTGTGTTGGTTTCTTATTCTTCTTTGGCTTCCTGCACAGTGCTCTTGTCTGACCACACCTCTTGTAACATAATGTTTCTACAGTCTGGTTATGGCTGCAGATTAACAGTCATCACTTGGTTCTCACAAACAGCTTACTTCTCGTAGAGCAGTAGCACAACATAACACTATTCTATAAAAGGACCAAAAGGTGCCATCCATTTACGACAATGACATTCTCGTCAAATCCCCAAGTGCAGTATTGCACTCTGGGAAAATTCGACTCCAGGAATGCTGCAGGTATAGAAGCTAGCCTCTAAATGAACTTTCCTGTGCCTCTGAAGCTTCTTACGATTAGAAAAATCAGCACCACATAAGCCACATTTATACGGTTTCTCTCCCGTATGTAATCTTTTATGGTCTCGTAAACTCCCACTGTGCGCAAACTCTGTCCCACAGATATCACATAGGTACCGTTTTTCCCCCGTATGTTTTCTCCGATGATTCTGTAAACTTGAATTCAAAGAGAACTTAATACCACAAAATTCACATTCGTACGGTTTCTCTCCCGTATGTTTCATTGTGTGGTTCAACAGGCTCGTATGTAGGTAAAACTGAATACCACAAATACCACACCTGTACGGTTTCTCACCCGTATGTTTTCTTTTATGATTCAGCAGACTGGTCTTGGCATAAAATCGAACACCACATACATCACATCTATACGGCTTCTCTCCCGTATGTTTCCCCTTATGGTTCTGCAAACTAGACTTCACAGAAAACCTTAACCCACACGTATCACATTTGTGAGGTTTATCCGCCCGATGTTTACTCCTGTGGATCTGCAAGCCGACATTGTGAGAAAAACCCACACCACAAACATCACATCGATACGGATCTTCCCCCTCGTGTCTTTTCTTGTGTACTTTTAAATTTGAACTATCAGCAAATCCCATACCACATATATCACAGGTGTATGGTTTCTCTCCTGTATGTTTCCGTTTGTGTATTTGTAAGTTATATGTCTGATTAAACCCTGCCCCACAAACATCACACTTGTAAGGTTTTTCACCCGTGTGTTTTATTCTGTGTATTTTGAGTTTCCGTCTGTTTTCAAAACTAGCGCCACAATCATTACACAGGTACGGTGTCTCCCCCGTATGTTTACGCATGTGTATTTGTAGAGTGGAGTTGAGTGTAAACCCACTGCCGCATATTTCACAATGGAATGGTTTTACGCCCGTGTGTACGCTTGCATGGGCGCGAAGACGGCAAGTACGGTCAAATCTGGCATCACATAATGTACACTGGAAAGGATTCTCTCCTTTGTGTTTTCTCTCATGACCTAACAGGCGATCTCGATTCTTAAACTCGGCTCCACAAATATTGCACCTGAAAGGTTTCTCTGCTGAGTGTACAATTAACTTTTTGTTAGCATATGCAGCACTCTGTCGGAATGGTGTACGATGGCGAAGATTGATTCCATGAGATGCAACATCCATTTTTCTTCTAGAGTTTTCATCCTTTATACATTTTCCCTCCTTCTCATCCTGAGTGAGAGGCTCTGGACACTGGTCAACTCTACAGTGACCGCGTGACTCTAAAGCCTTGACATTGTTAGCAGACGCACCTTTCCGATGTCTCCTTCTGCTAACTGTGCCCTTTTTTGTTTTGTTTGAGCCAGATTTCTGTTCTCGATCACGGCTCCACTTGCGGCAGGTTGTGTCCCTTCCTGCTCCGTCTGAAGATGATTCCTTCCACTACCACGACCCCCCTTGGTGCTCTGGCTGTGTGCTCTGTCCATGTGACTACACAGACCATCATGGTGGCTGAACACAACGCAGCAATGTGGGCACGAATACATGCCTGAAATCAGACAAACAAACAAGGATCAGGTAACTCATGGAGTAAATGAACCAATATTAGTTATTGCAGATACTTTCATAGTTATACAAACACACATAAATTACAAGTTACAATAAATTTGAAAACAGATGCCTGAAGAAAAAAAACTAACATAAAAAGGAGATGAATTCAAGAGCGGTGAAGAAGATGTTGCTATACTGGACAAATTCTGGAAAGAGATGAATTCAAGAGCAGAGAAGAAGATGGTGCTATACTGGACAAATTCTGGAAAGAGATGAATTCAAGAGCGGTGAAGAAGATAGTGCTATACTGGACAAATTCTGGAAAGAGATGAATTCAAGAGCGGTGAAGAAGATGGTGCTATACTGGACAAATTCTGGGAAGAGATGAATTCAAGAGCGGTGAAGAAGATGGTGCTATACGGGACAAATTCTGGAAAGAGATGAATTCAAGAGCAGTGAAGAAGATGGTGCTATACTGGACAAATTCTGGGAAGAGATGAATTCAAGAGCGGTGAAGAAGATGGTGCTATACTGGACAAATTCTGGAAAGAGATGAATTCAAGAGCGGTGAAGAAGATGGTGCTATACTGGACAAATTCTGGGAAGAGATCAACAGACAATCCCCAAACAGGCAGTGAGATGGGAATCTGAGGGACTGAGAAAATGAGGGCGTTCAAGAAAAACACAAGAGCAATATAGTTGTTTCCTGCCAAATCATCTACATCTTAATCGAAACAGGATTTCAGAGTTATGAATTGCATTTGTAACCCCTCAGCTAATCAGGTAATCGCAGGTCCAACTTCACTGCAAGCAAGTCACCCCATAAATGCTAATTTCTTGTGCCCAAAAAAAAAAATCACACAGAATGTACTCGATGACAAAAATGTATACAAACTGCAGTCTTAGAAAAACCAACAGCATACATGTGCATTAAATGCATAAGGCAGAAGTTATAAATATCAATAAAGACAGACCAAGATGAAAAATGCAGATCACTGTTGATGAAGCAACAGATACAGCAGATCAGTAAATGCACAATCAATTAAATGCATAAGGTAGCACAAGTTCTCTAGCTACAGGTCACTTGCCGTTGTCTAAATCTGCATGCACAATACAAACCCTGTTGGACACAGTCAAAATGCATTCTAAAAATGCATTCTAAATTAAATCTGCAGTGAGTGTCGTGCCATACACTTAACTCAGAAGCTGGGCAACAGAACTATATCCTTTTAGTCTAAATATGGAGAAAAATGCACCAGCTAACTATTATCAAAAGCAAAAACTTTCAGCGACTAAAAAAAGTAAACCTGCCTATCTGCCAGACTGACTGGAAGCACTAAGCCCCAGATGTTGACCGATCTACAAATACATATCTTAACTTTGAATAAGACCAACCTGTTTCCTGGCACAGTGTTAGGGCCTGTCGTCGGGAAATGTTTGCAGCAGCCAGAGTTAACAGGGAGGCTTTCTTTGGAGCTATACCAGGCAACACCAGGGAAGCATGACCCAGTTCAGGATGAGTGAGCATTTTATCTGTGACTTCCCATGTACCTAGAAAACATCATTTAAAATATTAATTCTACAATGTCTCAGTGTCAGTGCCTGAAAGGGTTATGGAAACAGCTGCACAACCCTGAACACCACAGTCAGCTACAGGAAACTGATAGCAAACTGCTCTGCATCATTCATCAATCAGCAAGTCCTTCAGCAACGTCGTTCTCTTCACGGCACGCCTGAAAGTATCCCTTTCCCTAGCCAGCTCTCCAGCCTAATGTGCTTTAAATGCCAAAGCATCTTCAATGTCCTGTATCGATCTTCGCGGTGGTCGATCCTTGCCACAAACTACACCCTTCATCACCGTCTTTTCCAAGCCAACATGACGCTTGATGTGGCCAAAATACTTTAACTTTCAGGACAGGATGCTGTTTTTTAGCCCATTCTCCTTATGTTCAATTCAGTGAGAATGTTGATGTTTCTCCTTTTCTTGATTCATGATATTCCAAGAATTTTTCTAAAAAATGTAAATTCAAAAGCTCCAGGACTCACAACCGTAAGTTGCCACAAGAAAAATGCATGATCTCAAGATTTTCACTTCAACAAATTTACTAACGCTTGGTCATAGATGCTCTGTCCCTTCACACAATATTACACTCTCCCAAATCAGCACACAACACATACCAACAGCAATAAATACGGTGACTGGTGGGCAGCGTCCTGCTTCCACTGCTGGACGTCCGGAGATGGAAAATGACGACGCAGGGAGACCAAAAAAGGAGCCAATAAAAAACAAGCCACATCAACAACAACACGCCAGTAGCCCAGCTAGCTCACCAAAATGAATACTCTACCTGCTCAAGACCAGATATAGAAACCAAGCGGCAAAAATCAACATCCAATGCATCTAATGATCACAAATATAACCAAAGCTTCCTGTGAAGCAACCCTTTCCGGGTGGCAGTTGAACGTGGTCATCGTTAACACTGAACTCAACTGAATCGCAACATCATAAAAAGAATATGTTACTAACTTTATCCTATCAATGTGTCACTGTCAAGTTCGGACATCTAGAGATTGCTAACCACAAAAATCCAATGTAACAGTTTAGTAGCTGAGGCATTAACACTTTTTACTGACAGTTTACAAAATTAGAATCTGACCCAAGATCACCACAAGACCAGCAAGTGGAGATTGAGCATCACAATACTGAACTCCTCTCCAAGGGAATGAAGTGTCTGCAACAATGTAGAGACCTTGCTTCAAAGTATATCTCTGCAACCAGGTCGACTTGATTGTGCTTTGGCAGTTGAATGTACTGCAGGAAATAAGACCAAGATACCAAGGACAACTGAGCTGGAGAAAAAAAAATGACTTGTTGCTGCTCTGTGGGTTTTGAAGTGGAAGATAAAACTGCCTGGAATGAGGATCAAGTCAACGAAATAACAGTCGCAAAAGCTTCTTGGAAAATATGAGCTTTGGTTACTGAAACAGTGGCAACTTCCTGGCATCCATCCTAGGTCATACTCACAGTTTATGCTGACAGCAATGATTCTCTCAGAATTTTTGTGTACACAATATTTTTTGAAGAATTTAAGCCAACTTTGTCTTCAATATTTGCATGTCTAAACTTATCTCATCTTGATCCTTTGGTACCTTGCGGTGTTGAGGTGAAATATAATCTATGGGAAAGTGTCCGTTCATGTGCTTCGTAAATGGAGATTCCCAGGGACTCTCTTATTCCCTCAGTCCATCAGTTGTATGGTAGGCCTCTTCTTCACTTCCTGTCTGGTCTGAACATTATTGTTTGCTGTGGTAAACTGTTTAATGGCATCCTCGCCATGTGGCTAAACCATTTAAGCTGTTTTCTAATTAATTCCAGAGCTGTGACACTACTCTCCGTTTATATTTGTATCAAATACTGCAAATTTAGGTGTCTTTTTATTGACACCTGATCTGTGAAACCAGCAATGACTGAATCAAAAGTACTAGTTTTACCTGACAATTCCTCACACATCAGACACAGAAACTCCACCGCTTTGTCCAAACTCTGGCACATCTCAGCGAAACCTGGCCGGTCTACGACTGACTGTCTCACCCAAGATCTGCCTTCTCTGATCATCTGAGCAGAAAGTATAGGTGCTCAAATATATATACAAGCAGTGAAGGCACATATTAAAAAATATGTATCTGTAAAATAAATAAGAGGGACATTTTTATAGACAGAGAGAGAGAGACACACACACAAACACACACACTCTCTCTCCTTTGTTAGTGTCTATGTGGAGAGACAGACAGAATCAACGAGCAAATGAATGAACAAAGATTATTTTCATAGAGTTGAGTCTTTCGGCACTGAGGCCAGTCTTTTGATCTCACTCCTTACAAACATTAGCCCATTCAGACATCAGTATGTATAGAAATAATCCACATAATCAGCATCTAAATCTAAGTCACAACTGCTGGCAAATGCTCTCATTATACCAACATTTCTGAACAGTAATAATACCAAGTAAATCATCATCATGTAGCAGGTCCTTTGCAGAACTTCGCTTTCATCACCGTCTGCCTGAAAGAAACTCGGTCTCTCGCCAGCTCTCCCGCCTCATCTACTTTTATGGTGGTCAGCCCCTGCCCCTCTTTCCTAGTACCACACCTTCTTCTTTTATTTTTTTCCAATCCGCATTAAGTATATAATGAGTGTATTAAATATGTGGGGAAAATATATTTAAAACTATAATCTTATAAGGGAACATAAAGTCTGTGCTGTGATAATAATCAAATAATTTCCAACTGTATGTGTAGGGCTTATTGCGAGAGATGAGAGGGAAAGAGAGAGAGAGAGAGATTACAAACAGACATCATACAATGGCACACATACACCCACATGCACCACACTACTATACCTGATCAATGAAGTGGTCAGTAAAGAGATGCATGTACTTTCTCTGCTGCTCCAGAAACTCTAACTTCTGTGCCACATATTCTGCTTCTGCCACACCTCCCCGTACAGGAAACTGGGGAGACACAAATGAACATACAGCATATTAAAGCCAATGTTGTACAACTACTGATTGTATTACTGCCATTGTTGTACAGCTACTGATTGTGTTACTGCCATTGTTGTACAACTACTGATTGTGTTACTGCCATTGTTGTACAACTACTGATTGTATTACTGCCATTGTTGTACAACTACTGATTGTGTTACTGCCATTGTTGTACAAATACTGATTGTGTTACTGCCATTGTTGTACAACTACTGATTGTATTACTGATGTCAAGTGGCATGTAAAACTAATCAGCAATGGACACAGTCATTCACCTAGGATACAGTTACAACCCCTCTTAACCCACTGACTTCCAAGTAATCTTCTTAAACCTGCATAGCCTGGCACACACAAATAAAGCATATTTCAAGGTTATGAGAAAATTATGTTTAAACAAGAAATGCAGAAAGGCAAATGTTACCTGGCATGTGTCAGTGTTTTCCTCCATGGATGTCACTGCCAGACTGGATTTCCTCTGCAGCTGATGAATATGGCCTTTAATCTCTTTACATAGAGCATGAAATGATGCGACACTGTCTTTAATAAGACATTTCTGCTGTGAAATCTCAAGGCCATTTGTACCTTCATTATCATTATTATTTTTTGCTGCTTTCCTCTTTTTCGGAAGCTTTGCGGATGATGACAGACTATGTGGAAATATCGTTGGCAAAGCATCATTCTGCAGCTTTGGTTTTGTTCGTGGCACACAGAGTAGTGTCCCATCATCCCGTCTTACAGAGTCGACAGTTACTATAAAATGTGGCTGAAAATGTCTGGCACAGACAACTGAATTTTTACTGACAACATAATCTCTTCGTCCAATCAACTCTAACCATTTCTCCTTTAAATCTGCATCTGAAGGGAATGTGAACACGGAAACGTACTTCTGGCCTCGGTAGTTGGATCTGCAACCTGGTACACAGCACTTATGGGGCATCTTGTCCTGCAAGTGTTCAAAGGGTTAAAGTTTGTTGTTTTATCATCAGTGTGACAGCATTTAAAATTGTACCTTTTTTCGTAGCCGGCAACTCATCACATCTGTGTCTGAATCAGACACTGAGGCAACTAAGACAACTTCCGACACATGAAAAGATACTTTAGTCTATCATGGCAAATCTAATCAGGAAAATTCTGGGTCAAATCTATGCTCTAGTAAAGTAACTTAATGAGCAGTTGATTTAAGAACCGACATCGCAGCACTTAGGGCATTCCCTTAAGAGCTCCATCCCCATCTTCAGCAGTCAGCGAAGAGTTCCAATACCAATGGTGCCAGCAGCATTCTGATTATACAGTCCATCTTGCCTTTCCTCTGAGCGTCGGGTATCGGCCAGATCCCCCTGTCACTCCCCGCTGCATCAGTCTCACCAGACTGTGGTAATCCATTAGCTCCTCTAAATTGTACACGTTCTCCCATAAGGTCTAAACCACCTCCGCCTTATCATGCATCAGTATTCCATCAAGTCATGCAGAGCCAGCCAGTCTGTCTGCCTATTCATTTCCCAACACACTGGTATGCCCGGAAAAAAGATCCAGTCAATGCTCCTCACCCGTGACCTCCGAAGCGAAGCAGACCACACTGCACGAAGCATGCCTGTGCTCACTTATCTCAGCATGCTTTCTGAGTCAGTTACAATCACAATGTGTGTGGGTGTCATGTTCTCTAACCAGCGGCAAGCTGCACTGACAGCCTCCACCTAAATTCTTAAGCTGGATGTTGTGGTATCATATGGTTGACTGTGCAAAGACGGTCTACACAATCTTTACCAAAAGCCACCAGGTAGCAAGGAAGAATATTAACCTGAGGTTAGACAAACACCAAGTGATGAAAGAAGAGCATCCCACATACCTTGGAGTCACACTTAACCGGCAGCTCAGCCTCAAGAACCATATTGGAAAACGTCATGAGGCGGTTACAGTTATTAAAGAGACTTGCAGGTACATCATGGGGATCAGACAAGGAAACTCTGAGGGGCTTATATCTAGGATATGTTTCGCTCTGTGATAGAGTACAACAACTCACTGCTTACAACTTGCTCCAAAACTAACCTAGAGACTCTTGACAGAGTACAAAATAATGCCCTCCGATTAATTTGCGGAGCTATGCAGTCTACACCAACTACTGCATGTGAAATCCATACAAATGTAGAACCCCTCGAGTTGCGGAGAGAAAAAGCCACTTTAGAAATTTATGAAAGATGCGTTGGGAAAAATTGTAACCATCTTAATAGACATCTTGTAGAAAACTGGGAATACAAACAAAGAATAAAGCACAAATCGGTTTTACACTGTGTTAATGAAATTCAGGACAGATACCACCTCCCAGAAAGACGTCAAGGAATTCAGAATGTTGCAAGAAACCTACCACCACATGCTCGCTTTAAAGCTCCAGAAGTCCGAATTAAATTGGTAGGCGAGGAAACCAAACAGTCCGACCCAATCGCTCTTATGAACTCATCACTAAAGACCATTGATTCTTACCCCCAAGAATGGATACATGTCTATACTGATGGATCAGCATTTTAAGCTTCCATTAAAGCAGGTTACGGAATCTACATAGGTTATCCCGATGGATCTGTTGAAGAGATTTTTGATGCATGCGGGGAATTCTGTTCAAATTATGAAGCTGAAATAATTGCACTGGAAACAGCAGTATACTACCTAAAGACTGTAATGGATGTTTACCCTTCAAAGGTCCAAAATATTGTCATCTTCACAGATTCAATGTCTGCCCTTCAAGCTCTGGAGGGCACTGAACGCTGCAGAACTGAGACAGCCAAGATAATCCTGGATACTGATCAGCTTATTACCTCATACAACATCAGAATAGTGATGCAGTGGATTCCAGGTCACTCCGGCACACCAGGTAATTACAGAGCTGACAGATTGGCAAAGAAAGGAGCAACTCAAGAACAACCACCTACAGCGACAACCCTCCAGACAGCAAAAACACTGACAAGAGCTATAAACAAAGAGACTTGGTTGAACAGATGGGCGATGGGAGACACTGGAAGAGAGATTTATAGACATATGTCTGGCCCTGATCCTAATGACAGCATTAACCATCTATCAAGAAGGGACCAGGCCACCATCTTCAGACTTAGAACGCAACATACTCCACTCAATGGACACCTAAACAGAATACAGCCACAACACTCCCCAGAGTGCCAGCTATGTAACTACCCCTATGAAACTGTTGAAAACCATCTCTTTGAGTGCCCAAAACTTAGTGAGACAAGAAGAACGCTACTCCCTCCGAGACCAGACAAGTGGAACACCTTGTACGGAGGAAAAAAACAGCTTGTGAAAACATGCAAATTCCACTACATGGCATTGGACCAAAGGGCGAAAGCTCATGCGCCGCTGGATCGATAGCAACAACAATCAAATGATAGGCTCTCTTGCACCAAACATTGAGCATCAGCTTTAGCTCAGAACACACCCAAGCACTTCTTTTGCCTCTTGACACTGAACTGCATGAGAATTAAAGTAATATAGTAAAGACAAAACTAACACAATACCAACATAGACTAAAGTGGCATAACACCAGCGAAAGTAACAGAACACCAAATGAAGTAACATAACATAAAGTGAAGCAACAGCACAGACTGAAGTGACATAACAGACTGAAGAAAGCACACAGGCTAAAGTAGCAGACCAAACTGAAGTAACAGCACACACTGAAGCAGTTTTTTTTAAGGTGCTGGGTACTCGCCATGAATTGTCAAAAAAGGTAATGGTACACATCATAAAAGTGTCTATCACAGCAGCTCTGAACAAAATGGTGCTTAAAAAAAAGTGCCGGTACCGTGTATCACCAGGGACAAACAGCCCTGGACTGAAGTAAAATAATAGACTAAAGTAACATATTACTGACTGAAGTAATGTAACAGACCAAAATAACATATCGCTGACTGAAGTAACAGGACACAATAAAGTAAGCAAAAGCACATAATTAAGTAACAATATACACAAAAGTAACATAACTACAACCCGCTGCCATAAGCTGCATTTATATATTATACACTATATGGTGGTCTGAGTTCACGATAGGTGGTAGACAGAAAAGCTACATATTTAATAAATCTATCACGGAATCAAGGCCGAAGGGTTGCGATATCCATGGTACTGAGCCAAAGTATTTACAGTATTTACAACTCATCGTTTCTGCCCCCCCCACCCCTTTCCCCCGCCCCCAAACTATATCTGCATCTACATCATCATCCGCCAAGTGCGATTGGTCTATAAAATGTTGGTCTAGCCCTATATGCCTAATACGCCTTGAGGCGTAGAAAAGTGGACCTTTACTTTTATTTATGTATGTATCTCTCTGGGGAAGACAGAGCACCGGTGGGCGTGTTCCTAGTGCCACCAAGTGGAGTCCGTTAACCAAAGGTCATGAAACAGTGAGTCAATCAATACTAACCACAAAAGTCCTCCGGCGAATATGCAATGCTGTAGTTCTCCAATTGCATTAAACCGTAAATATGTTACACAGTTACTGCTAGACAATAGATCAGGTTTGAATGTGATACCTTTTCCTTCGATATGGTGAGTGAACCGTCAAGGAATGTTGCTAACAAGGAGTCCGACAACACTATGTAGATTCAACACCGACTGCTACCGGGCCGCCATGTTGGGTGATGACGTCACGCTGAAGTCTGCTGCTGTACTGTCTGGGCCAGGATCCAAGTGGATCAGAGGTGTCGTTAATATTACAAGGGCGGTACCCTTGGCGGTACACAGTACCGGCACCGTCGTTTGGGCTATCTTTTTCGTCAGAGCTATTGTAATGCAGGGAGCCTCCGTGGTCTAGCGGTTAGGGCTCGCCTGCGGATCGGAAAGTCATGGGTTCGGTTCCTGACGGACTTTTTTTTCAAAAATGACCTTGGCTCACAGTCGACCCAGCCTTGAGTGGGTACCAGTTGCAGTCCTGAAAAGTAAAGGCGGCTGACGTGATGCTTACCACATCACCCACCAAGTGCCGTTTGGTCTATAAAATATTGGTTTAGCCCTATATACCCAGTAGGCCAGAAAGGTTTGGAAAGGGGTCATTTACTTTACTATTTTTACTGTAATGGATACTTATGGTCAGCCCCCTGTGGGTCCCGAGGTCCTATTGTGGGCAAATCATTAATAGACCCACTGCCTCCTCAACAAGCATATCGTAAGAGTTGACTGGTTATGGGTGTCCTTCAAGTCCGAGTGCATCTGCCTGAGAAGCAAGGAACCAGGAGTCTGCACAGAAATAAGTCAGATATGTAGAAAGGATGTGCACGCAACACTCAGGTTCTGGAACAGGTCTAAAGTCCAGAGGTGGATGAACAGCCAGAACTTTCCGCTGAAGTTTACAGCCGGTGAACGTGAAGAAGAAGATACTTATGGTAAAAGGTAATGGAAAGTCTGACCAGCTGGCAAGTAATGCACCAGTGCAAACAGAGAGAAGCGTTGACAGAACTGGTGTTGACGGAGTGTTGACGGATGAGGTGAAATGAATTCGTGGCCCGTGTGTGTGTGACAATGAATGAATCAAGAACTGACATCATTGCACTCAGGACATTGCAGAGCGTGCTCCGTCTTTTTCATCAGTAGTCAACGAAGAGTTGACATGCTAACAGAACCAATTTCTGCATAACCAAAAGTCTGCCCTATGTTTCCCTCTCAGTCAGTAACATGTCATTTGCAGAACCTTGCTTCCATAACAACCTTCCAGAAAACTTCTCCATCACAAGCAAGTTCGCCCGCATCCGACACACCCATATGGAGACCATCCGCCACATTCTGCACCCATCTTCTCTTTGGTCTGCCTCTTCCTCTCTTCCCAGGCATATACCCCTCTTTTTTTTTTGTACTCTCTAAACTTTCGTGACGTTTCAAGTGACCAAAATATTTTAATTTGTGTGTGTGTGTTTATCGTCTTTAATAGCCAACCTTATTCAA